ATATATATATATATGTTGTCTACAAGACACCCAGTTCAGTTTGAAAGGCACGCATGGGCTGAAAGTAAAGGGATGGAAAAAATGTCATGAAAATGAAAATGAAAAAAAATCTGTGGTAGCAATACATATATACCAGACAAAATGACTTTAAAATAAAGGCTATAACAAGAGACAGAGAAGAACCCAGCAATTCTATTTCTGGGTTTTTATCCAAAGAAACCCAAAACATTAATTTGAAAAAACATATGCATCCATATGTTCATTATTTAAAATAGCTAAGATATAAAAGCAACCTAAGTGTCTATCAATAGATGAATGGATAAAGAAGTGATGCATATATACAAAGGAATATGATTCAGCCATAAAAAAGAACAAAATCTTGCCATCTGCAACATGGATAGACCTAGAGAGTATTGTGTTGAGTGAAATAAGTCAGACAAAGAAAGACAAATGCCATATGATTTTGTAACCTGTGGAAATGGGATCCTTTCACAGAGTTGCAAAGAAGGCATTCCAGGGACCCACTTATGGGGGGTTGTGGTGTGGGAGTTTTATTGTAGAAGCAAAATCAAAGGACTGCTCCTGGGTTCTCAATGTCTCATCTCAGTCCATCACTCAGTGAAAAAAAACTCAACCTTTTCTTTATCAGATCCAGAGATAGGGCCATTGTCCAGGCATTTTGGGCCATTGGTTCAGTCCATGTCTCTCAGTGGCACTCTGCCAGGTATTGTGCCCAGGCCTGGGCCAGTATGCCCCAGACCCCAGGTTACTGCTAGGGCTTCATGGTTGCTATAGACAGAGAACACGTGAACCAATGAGTCAAGCAAGTGAAACTAACCAATCAACTCCCCAATTTTCTGTAGGCTTGTTATGAGTCCACCCCCTAACCAATCTATTTCCTAGATCTTCTGGGGTTCTGTGTCCTTTATTCAGTACGATCTTTTTCCCAGGCTAGATAGATCCTTTTCCCAACCATCCTTTATGGTTGCCACCTTAGTTCCTACCGTGCATGCCTCATAGTAGAAACACCTACCCCTGCTCCACCTTGACTTCTACTGGGCATGTGCCTAACAGAAGAATTTCTCCTGCTGTTTTTATCCCACCCCCCTCCACCTCCATATACCTGCTTTAGGGGATTAGGTCCGCAGAGCAGAGGATGCCGTGGGGTGTGTGTGATGCTATAACTTCCTAGTGAAATAAGCATGCTTATGCTAATTTATTATGCTTAATAATTTCCGATTCCCTTTGCTCCTTTCCTTTATTAATATTTAGCTACCTACACTAATAATGTCACTTAATGTGAAATCTAGAAAAAAATAAAATAAACAAACAAAACAAACAAATTTATAGATCCAGAGAACATTTTGATGGTTGCCAGATGCAAGAAGGTTAGGAGGATAGGTGGAAAAGGGGAAGGGATTAAGAAGTACAAATTGGTAGTTACAAAATTGTCATAGGCATGTAAAGTATAGCATATGGACTATAGTAAAAAATATTGTAACAACTATATATGGTGTCAGATGGGCACTAGATTTATCAGGCTCTTTCATAAGTTATAAAAAGTCTAATCACCATGTTGTACACCTGAAACTAATATAATATTGTATGTCAACTGTAATTGAAAAATAAAATATTATTTTTTAAAAAGAAAAAATATTTGGTCTGTGTACCCTTGGAATTTCCTGAGTGATGAGAGTGTCTCTTATTATGTTTAATGGGCTCCTTTCAATACTACCTGAGTTTGTGCAAATAAGGTGGCTTCTGGGAGCCCCTAGATAGTTTCAGGATGGGGAATGGTTGCCAGAAGATCAAGCTTTGATTAGAAGGTTGAACTTTCAACTTCACCCCCCTCCACTTCATGGAGGGAAGGAGAGAGGTGCTGAAGATTGAGTCCAACCACCAATGGCTAATTATTTAATTAGCATGCCTATTTAATGAAACTTCCATAAAAACCCCTAAGCAACAGTGTTCAGGGAGCTTACAATTTGGCAAATATATCTGGTGCCTGAAGAGAGGCACACTCCAATTCCACTGGGACAGAGACTTCTGCACTTAGACCTCACTTCCTCTGGCTATTCATTTGTGTCCTCTATTATAAACAGTAATAGTATGTGCAGCATTTCCAGAGTTCTGAGTGTTCTAACAAACTATCAAACCTGGTGAAGGGGCATCACTGGAACCCCAAATTTGTAGCCAAGTGGAGAAAAGGGTGGTAACCTGGGGATCCCCTACTTGTCACTGCATCTGCAGTAAGGGCAATATTGTAGAACTGAGCCCTTAAACCTGTAGGGTCTGGCACTTACTCCCTGTAATTAGTGTCAGAATTTAATTGAATTGACTTTTAGGACACAAAGCTGGTGTCTGCAAAAAATAAAAAGTTGGTTGATGTCAGAAGAAACCTCTAACAAATGTGTAGTTTGCATGTTTTAATCATCATGTAAATATCAAAAAATATGTCATTCTTCAACTTGTTTTTTATTCTAACATATTTTTAAGATTTATCCATATTTATTTTATATAGCTTTAGTTCATTAACTCTTGTATAGTTTTCTTCAGAATGACTATTTCTAATCCATTCTTTCTCCTGCTGGTGAACACTTGAATTGGTTCCAATTTTACTGTTACTAAGAAGTCAGCAATAATGATTTTAAAGAATATCTCCTTATGCAAATTTGCAAGTGTGCCTAGGTCATAGAGTATGTGTACCTTCAACTTAATGTAGAAATTGCCAGATTGCTCTCCAAAGTGATCACACCAATTTGTATGCTACCAAAAAAGTATCAGAGTCCCTGATAGTCTCATACAAAATTTTGTATCGTCTGACTTTTGCATTTTTCCCATTTGATTATTGTGAAATGATATTTTTTTGCTATTTTGTTTTGTATTCTCTGATTACTAATGAGTTTTAGAAGCTTCTCGGTGTTCTGTGGATATTCAGTTTTTTTCTGTGAATAGTCTGTTCATGTACCAATGTTAATGTAACTAATGGGTTGATGTCCTTTTTAAAAAACTGAATTGTGAACATTTAAAAATATATATGGACACTAATGCTTCACTAGTTTATGTTAATCCCTTTATTTTTAAAATAACATTTATTTTGAATTATAAAAATAACATTTATTATAGAAATTTTTGAAAATACAGAAAGACATTATAAAGAAATTTAGAATTGCCTGTGATTACACTATCCAAGGATAATTACTGTTTTCCATTTGGGATCTATCTTTAGAGTGTTTTCTTACTATGAATTTATACTTTTTTATTTTAAAAAACAAGATTATTTTATACACACATATCTACTAGCATTTAATTGTTCATTTGTGTATGTCTTAGTTCCTCAATTAGATGCTAAGATCAATAATGATGGTCATATTTTCTACTACAGTGAGTCTTACATAGCATCAATAAAATATCTTTTGTTTAGTAGAAATTTACTATATATTGATTTAATGTTTCTTTCATTCCAGCACATCCAGATGTGAATGGTGTCTTGGTCCCAAGTTTGATGAAGATTATCGTGTCATCCAATCCTGCAATGTTTTCGGAGTGACACACCTTCCTGTTATGTTTCACGTCTGTTCTTCTTCCTGCTATAAGGCAGTAATCGAAAACAGCTGTTTAAGATAGTATTCCTGGTAAAAGAGTATCTCTAAATTCTGAGTTGATGATCATACAATGATTTTTGAATCCCACTTTAAAAGCCACTAAAGTTTTTATATATAGTAATTCATTTCTTTGAGAGTACAGGTTCTGTACGAAGACATTAGTGTTTTCTCATGTGAATCTTCTTTGTAATCCTAGCTCTTATGAAAGTTTGTGATTGTTAGGGAATTCTTGCAGAATAAATTAATTAAGAAGGATTAATGCAAGTTTTTGGATTTCAATAAATCTCTATAAAATTTCTTTCAGACAATATTTACTATAAAAAGAAAAATGTTAGAATCCTTTGCAAAAAGGATTTATCTTAAAACTGGCCTTTTCATGCACTCATTCTAAGTGATAACATTTCAAAGTCATCAATGCGGTTTTCCCTCACAGAGCTTCATAATGATGTATCCAAGTTCTCGACATTTGTTCATTTCTGTGGAAATTTATCCAGTGCCAATCATCTAAATTGTGGATTGCTCTTGGGAATAAAATTTAATTCCAGCCCTGGAAGGTGTTGCTCAGTGTTTAGAGCATCGGCCCACACACTGAAGGGTCACAGGTTTGATCCCTGGACCTGGAGGGGTGCATGCTGGAGGCAACCAATAATTGTGTCTCTCTCACATTGATGTTTCTCTCTCTCCCCCTTCTCTCTCTCTCTTCCCTCCCTTTCACTCTCTCTAAATATCATGGGAAAATATCCTTGAGTGAGGATTAACAAAAAATAAATAAAATTTAATTCCAGCCCTATATTTACTTGTTTGAATTTATTACCAAGGCTCTTAGAAAACTGGTACAATGTCTCACCCATATTGACCTTCATCTCATGAAGCCTGGTGCATAAGCTAGTGCCAGCATTCAACAGGCCTTCAGTGATAGCCTGGCAAGAAAATACAGTAAAACTTACACAAGAGGCTTTAAGATTTAGTATTTGTCAAGAAAAAGGTAAACAAGTATTTTGATATAACAATTTATAAATAACTCTGCAATAAAGGTAAGGGTGCATATATTCTTTCGAATTAGTGTTTCGGGTTTCTTTGATTATATTTCCAGAAGTGGAATTGCTGGGTCATAAGAAAGTTTCATTTTTAATTTTTTTTTTAAAGTTTTCTTTTTTAATATATCTTTATTGATTTCAGAGAGAGGAAAGGAGAGAAAGAGAGAGAGAAGCATCAATGATGAGAGAGTCATTGATCGGCTGCAGCCCGCAACCTGGGCATGTGCCCTGACAGGGAATAGAACCCCGATCACCTGGATCCTAGGTCGAAGCTCAACCCCTGAACCACACCCGGCTGGGCTCATTTTTAATTTTTTGAGGTAACTCCATACTGCTTTCCACAGTGGCTACACCAATCTGCATTCCTACCAACAGTGCACAAGAGTTCCCTTTTCTCCACATTATCGCCAACACTTGTTTGCAGATTTATTGATGATAGCCATGCTGACAAATATGCAGTGATATCTCATTGTGGTTTTAATTTGCATTTCTCTGATGTTTCGTGATGTTGAGCATCTTTTCATATGTCTATTGGCTAGCAGAATGTCTTCTTTAGAGCAGTGTCTATTTAGGTCCTTTGCCCATTTTTAAAAAAAAATATGTCTTTATTGATTTCAGAGAAGGGAAGGGAGGGGGAGAGAAAGCAATAGAAATTTCAATGATAATAGAGTCATTGAACGACTGCCTCCTGCACGCTCCCCACTGGGAGTCGATGCCACAACCCAAGCATGTGTCCTGACAGGGAATTGAACCACGATCTCCTGGATCATAGGTTAATGCTCAACCACTGAGCCACGCAGGCAAGGCTTTTGCCCATTTTTAAATTAGATTGATTTTTTGATGTTGAGTTTTATAAGTTCCTTATGAATTTTGCCCGTATCAGAAGTATTGGCAAATTATGTTCTCCCATTCAGTGGGCTGTCTTTTCATTTTGTTGATGGTTTCCTTTGCTGTGCAAAAACTTTTTTATTTGATGTAGCCCCATTTGTTTATTTCTTCTTTTGTTTCCCTTGCCCGAGGTGATCTATCAGAAAAAATATAGCTATGAGAAATGTCTGAGATTTTACTGACTATGTTTTCTTCTAGGATTTTTATGGTTTCAAGTCTAACATTTAAGTCTTTAATGAATTTTGAGTTTATTCTTGTGTATGATGTAAGAAGGTGGTCTAGTTTCATTTTTTTGCACACATCAATCCAATTTTACCAACACCATTTATAGAATAGACTATTGTCAGCCCATTGCATGTTTTTGCCTGCATTTTCAAATATTAATTGACCATACAGGCATGGATTTATTTCTGGGCTTCCTATTTTGTTCCATTGATCTGTATGTCTGTTTTTATGCCAGTACCATGCTGCTTTGATTACTATAGTCTTGTAATATAGTTTGATATCAGGTAGCATGATTCCTCCAACTTTGTTCTTTTTTCTCAAGATTGCTATGGCTATTCAGGGTCTTTTGTGGTTCTGTATAAATTTTTGGAATATTTGTTCTAGTTCTGTAAATATGCAATTGGTATCTTGATGGGAATTGTGCTGAATCTTTTGATTGCTTTGAGTAGTATGCATCTTAAGGATGTTAGTTCTTATCCATGAACACAATACATGCTTCCACTTATTTGTATCTTCTCTAGTTTCTTCAGTGTCATATAATTTTCTGATTATAAGTCTTTTAGATCCTATAATTTATTCCTAGGTATTTTATTCTTTTTGAAGCAATTGTGAATGAGATTTTTTTTTTTTTAGTTTCCCTTTCTGATAGTTCATTATTGGTGTACAAGTAATGCAACTGATTTCTGGATATTTATTTTGTAGCCTGCTACTTTACTGAATTCATTTATTAGTTCTAGTAGTTTTTTTGGTGGAATGTTTAGGTTCCCTATATACAGTATCATGTCATCTGAAAATAATGACCATTTTGGAGTAGCTCAAGTGCTCATTAGTAGATGACTGGATAAAAAAAGCTGTGATACATTTACACAATGGAGTACTAAGCCATAAAAAAAGGAAATCTTATCTTTTGCAAACAGCATGGATGGGCCTATAGAGTATTATGTTAAGTGAAAATTGCCAGTCATAGAAACACAAATACCATATAATTTCATTTATATGTGGAATCTAGTGAACAAAATAAACTAACAGACAAAATAGAAACAGACTCATAGATACAGAGAGCAGATTGACAGCTGTCAGAGGGGAGGGGGGTTGGGGACCTGGGTGAAAACACTGAAGTTATTAAGCAAAATAAATAAAAGAATAAATAGCCTCTTAGACACCAACAGTGTGGTATTTACCAGAGGTATAGGGAGTTGGGGGAGAGTAGAAGAGGGTAAAGGGCAGATAAATGGTGATGGAAAGAGACTTGATTTGGGGTGTTGAACACACAATACAATATACAGGTAATGTATCATAGAATTGTACATCTGAATCCTATAAAACTTTACTAACCAATGTCACCCCAATAAATTCAATTTAAAAAAATTAGTACAGGAATATATGTTTAATCTGTTCAAAGCTTTGAAATGCTTTCATCAGTTTGGTATTGTTCACCATGATGTTAAGCCCAACAATTTTTTATATGATAGAATCCTGAATAAGTACTTCTTGGTAGACTTTGGTTTAGCCTAAGGAATCTTTGATGCAAAAATAGAGCTTCTCAAATTTGTCCATTTAGAAGCTCAGCAGGAGACTTGTTCAGAAAATAAATTCCACGTAATCACTGGAAACAAGGCTTCATTGAGTGGCCCAGCAGCCCAACACAAAAAAGCTCTGTTAAAAGGCCCTGCACAAATACACAGATTAAACAAGGAAAAGATGGAAAGGATGGATCTGTAGGCCTTTCTAGCACACTGTGTTTAGAGGAAGAAATTTCAATATATACAGCTCCATTTCACACGAGAGCCCTGCAGTGAAATTTGTGAAACATGGATGTATTATCTAGAAAGTTAGCAACAAAAATAAGACTGTTTTCCCAAATGATACAAATAGTAATGTAATGAAGAAAACTACCAGTTCTGGCCCAGCTAGCCTCACCTGTGACTGTTATGCAACAGATAAAGTTTTCAGTATTTGCCTTTCAGGGCAGCAACAGGTTGCCCTTAGGGCAGATACGCCAGGATCCAGAGGCCTTAACAAGTGCCCCAATCAAACTACAGCAATTAACATGTAGCCTGCGGGTGTCATATTTCTTACTTTGCCTCATGGATGATATCCATTTTATAAAGCAGGTGATGGTTTAACGTGTTTGGCTCAAATTATGACAATTTATGGATCCAGAGAAACTAGCCAAGCTGCTAAAACTTTTGGTAAATCAATATTGTATAGCAAAGAAATTTCAGCACAATACTTGAGAAAACTCTGTGAGAAGCTCAGTGTTATAGATTCTTATACTCTCAAATTAACAACTGATGTACAATGTACAAGGTCTGTTTTTCATGACCCAGCTTTTTCAGAGAAATCTGACCATAAAGTTTCTCACTTCATACAAACACTTCAAGTACAGCCCTCTGGAATTCATTGCATAAAGTGAACAGAAATGGCTGTGAGGATCATTTTGATGCATATACTACCAACCTAAAAGTTTTGGGCAAGGTATCTGATGAAGCTTATGACCTGCTTGATAAACTTCTAGATCTTAATCCAACTTCAAGAATAACACCAGAGTTTGGATGTGAATACCCTGTCTCTATTACTTGCTGAAAGTAAATAAAACTGCCTTGTTGTGGTAGGCAGCTATTAGAGGAGAGCTTGGCTGGCCACTTCAGAAGGGTGGGCCAGGCGAGGCTACACAGAGGATGGCAGATGAGGGTGCACTGGGATCCAGGAGTGCCCCGCAGACCCCAACCAGCTCCCCTGGATGTGAAGGCAGGCTGAAGGCTGTGGGGATATCCAGACTTCCTGAGAAGTGGGTGGTGCAGCCCCCTGCTCCACACTACCATAGATAGGGAGCAGCAAGGAGTCTCCTCCGTTGGCCAAAATGGCTTAGGGGGAGGTTCTTACACCCAGTATACCAAAAGATGAATGGCCAGGGCCCAAGCACACCAAAAGCTAGAAGTATGAATGGATAGGGCCCCAGTTGCCAAAAGTTAGATAGATGAATG